AGTTGTCATTTTTATTGATATATCACTGGGGAAAATTATTTTTAATAATATCCTTTATTTCTTCTTCATTTGTTGTGAATTCTCCTTTTTCATTTTTGATGTTGCTAATTTGGTTTTCCCTCATTCTTATTTTTAATCAAATTGTCTAATGGTTTGTCAATTTAATGTTTTTTGAAACCATTTTTTAGTTTGATTTATTAATTCAATAGCTTTTTTTGTTTTCAATTTTAATTTCATCTTTGTTAAGATTTCTATTTTGGTATTTAAGTGAGTTAAAAAAAATTTTTTTAGTATTTTTAGTTCTATTACCAATTTCCAATCTGTTCCTTCATTTTTTTTTGTTAATAAAAGAGTTTAAAGACAAAAAATTTTCCAAGTACTGCTTTTGTTGTATCTCCAGAATTTTGCTATGTTGTGTCACTGCTGTCATTATCGTCATCATTTCTATGATTTTTTTTTGACCCATCAATTTTTAGGAGTATAAGTTATTTGGTTTCTAGTTGTTTTTAATATTTTTTCAGAGGCCTTTTATTTAATGCAATTTTATTGCACAATGGTCTATAGAAGATATACACACATATATGTAAAATGCTCATATGTATCAATGCTCACACACAAACACACATATATATAATATTTCTGCTTTTCTTCATTTGTTTGTGAGATTTTTTAATTCTCTAAGACATGATCAACTTTTGTAAAGGTACCATGCGCAAATGAGTAATATGTATACTTTTTTCCTATTCTATCCAAGAGTCTACTATACATAATTTTTCTAAAATTCTATTCTGGTTCTTAAGTTCTTTCTCATTTTTTTGGTCAGATTTATCTTGGCTGGTAGGGGTAAATTGAGGTCTCCATTATTATAGTTTTACTGTCTAGTCTATTTCTCCTTATGATTCATTTAGTTTTCTCTTTAAGTGTTTTGAAGGTATGTCACTGGATACGTATATGTTAAGTACTGAAATTAATTCATTGTCTATATTACCTTTCAGCAAAATGTGAATTCCCTCTTTATCTCATTTAATTAAATCTATTTATACTTTTGTCATGTCTGAAATCATAATTGCTACCTCTGGTGTGTGTGTGTGTGTGTGTGTGTGTGTGTGTGTGTGTGTGTGTGTG